CTCTACTCGTGCTTCTCTTGTCGTGGTCGCAGCTGCTACAACTAGTGTAGCTCTAGCAGCTGCGTCTGAAGCTGGTGGTTCTGGCTGAGAGCAGGTCACTCATCCACTCATGTTTTCTAGCTTTCTTGCCGAGAGGCCCAACGCCGGACCGGACTTGCCGGAGAGGGCGCTCATTACGGCCACGCGAGAGATTACGCCCCACTGCTGTCGTCCCTGCTAATTTCCAGCAACTGCCTGATAAAGTTTTGCGAAAGCCGGTTTTCGGAATTTCCGGGACAATCGTATCAAGACTAAGAAGGATATGAGTAAGGGTTTACTCAAAAGTCTCACAGCGTTGCAAGTGCTGCCTCTCGAACCAAAGAAAAGTAACTCATGGAGCAGACGCAAGCGAAATGCAAGCAAAGGTTGTGAATCCTGATCCTGAGATAGATCGCCTCGCTACGCCGATCCTTCCGGCAATCGATGGGTATCCCGAGATCCGAGTGGCGAACTTGACGCTAATGTCTGACGACAACATGGAAACATTGGGAGTTGTACAACTCGGGCCCAACAATACCTTGTACTTCATGAAGAGATCCCAATCAGCGAAGGACAACGTGGCGTCTTCATCAGTCTTTCTTGGTAGAGCCGTGAATACATTATGTCGTCTCCAACTGGAGCTGCAGCAGTTTACTTGCTCGGCCTCGACGCCTTCTGCGTCGCAAAGAGAAACCTGGGATCCTTGATGAGCAACGACAAGAACAAGAACATTATCCTAAAATCGGATACGAGCGCGTTATTTTTAGCCACCACGATACAGAGTGCAATAGTGGAATCCCCAAACTCCAACAGCTGGGTATTTCGCTATTGTATTCTGTATCGGCCGTAGTTTCGGGACACCACTTCTGCACCCGCAGACTACAACGACCACGACCTGTCAAAGGCCGTGAAGGGTCTCTCAGTTGACTACGGAGGTCACTGGCTTTCTAAGTGGGTGAATTCCGCCATCCATATTAAGGCTCAATACAATTCATTTTTACAAGAGAGACGCTTCTCACACAATTTATTCATTTTTACAAGACACGACTTCTCACTGTTTCATGCCTCTTAGGAAGATCATTCTCAAGAAATGGACTCCGCCCAAAGAGTTCCCCGACTCGAAACAATACCTCAAGAACAGGTACATGAATGAATGAATGAATGAATGAATGAGCTCTCACCATTCTAATTTTTGCGTTTCGTGATGTGGATGATGCAAATCGACTTCCTGGCGGATCATTTTCCGTCGAGGAAGTCTTTTTACCGAAGAAACACAAAATGAACTACCTTTTACTAGGAGAAGCGTTGATTACATTCACAACATCTCTTCATGATGACTACACGAACAAGGACACGAACATTTATTTTTAAAGCCTTGAGCATACCTTCTACGAACTTCGTTACGTGCGAAAGCGAATGTGACGCTATCAATCAAAAAACAATTGTTAGATGTTGTCAAGGTAAACTAAAGATGAAGCAGCCAAGAGAACCAAAATCAATTTCTATTTTAAATAAAGAACCCGGAGGCCCAAAGAAACGGTCATCAGATATGCAAATACTCTTTTTTACTGTAGTGTTCGTCAGTCGCTAACTCATAATCAAAGGTGATCCATCCTAAATGATTGAAAATCATCTTCAAAGAACCAGAACCGTTCACGACGAGATCCAGCAAACGAGAACAAAAACTTGCTTGGAACTCCTTCTATAGATCGCATCTGCAAAAATGCAAAGGGAAAAGAAGGGAGGAGTAGTGAAAGGAGAACTGCAGAACAAAAATTAAAGTTGTCTTCTTTACCCCAAGAATGGGTACACTACTTCTACCACTACTACATTGAAACGACACTGTGTTTCTTGCTACTCCACCTAGCCAAGTATTGACTTCTCTGAACAACTTCTTATAATATAGTATTAATTTCTCTGACTGTTCTCTCCCTCTCCGCTTCAAAGCCTCTTGTCCGCAGCAACTACGTTGTTGTCTTTTTCCTACAACTACTGAGGGATGAACTGGAAGATGCACAACTAATTAAATCTTCTGTAATACCCCACGAATGGGTACACTACTACTACTACTATGTTGCAGCCAGGACATGGACATGGAGATCCCACACTCTGACTCTAACATAGCCCGAAAAGAGATTGCACAGTGCAAAGTCACAGTGCATCAGCAGCAACAGGAAATTGATCGACTCCTCTGTGGGTGTTGGTTCGGTTCAACACCGAGAGCAGTTGCATCGAGGACAGCTTTCTCTGGAGGCGCAATGTCAATTTCAACGACCAGAAGATTATGGCTGAGGCTGTCGCATAGTAGACCGAATCAACTGGTGCACTACGGGCTGACCGGAACTTGCGAAAGAACTAGACGGGGGTTTGCTTTCCTCTTCAAAAGAAGAGGGAAAGAGGAAGAGCCAATCTATCAGTCACCCATCAATTCAAGGCAGTATGCTCGACTTGAGGTTAGGTTACCGATAACGACGTTGAGATCAAAAAGGGTTGACAAAAACAGTACTAGAGCGTCGCATAGCACTCTGGATCCTCTGCTGCTTCTATGGTGAAATTTCAGCACTGTGTCGCATAGCACTCTGGATCCTCGGCGCCGGTGAAATTGAAGAGACTTTTTCCTGAGACGCCTGAGACGACTACACAAGTAGAAGTACCTGGTAGACGTAGATAGTATATTTGGGGAAAGCCTACCAATGACGTAGATAGTACTCTATGACTAGGGGTAGAGACGTAGATAGTACCTGGCTTGTTCCCACCAATGCTTCGTCTTGTTCGGGAGACTGACAGAGTATAAGACCTGTGTCTCTGGAACCAAAGATGGAGACGGCGAGCCACTCCAAAGAAGTTGAAGCGGTAGTGGAACTGCATCAAGATCGAGAACTGCATCAAGATCGAGAACTGCATCAAGATGGACCGAACAACTAGAGCGATGTCTTGGCTTTTTAGCTCTCTTCGTCTTTTGATCATACCCCTCGATATCTAATGAGAAATAACTCGCCAAAAGCTGCCTCTTCACAGGCATATCAATCAATCAATCAAGTTGTCGTGCTTAATTTGTAGAGAGAAGAAGATTGAGATCATTTCGTCTTCGTTGTAGCTGAGAACAGTCGTAGCTGAGAACAGACGTAGCTGAGGAGGACTTCTTCATCTAGTTGTTTACGCAAGTTAGAAGACACGCAGTAGCTATCCTTTATTTACAGGTGAGTAGAAACGCAGTACTAGTTCGAAGCTTATTTTGTCGACATCACAATGACCACACACTCCTTTGAGCGGTGTCCCAGAAAGAATCCGAAGAATGAATCCCAGAGTTAGCGCGTAGAGAGAGAATCACACACTTCATCAACATAGGAAAAGATAATATCCAAAATCATTTGGATTGCCGTTGGAGCCGTGGAAGGCGGAGGAACTCGTACCCTCTAGTACCTTATAAATTCTGCATGTCCTCCGCGTCTTTTGCTCCACCTGGTTCTTGTGAAGTTACGAACCGCTGTCGGTCTATTCGTTGATTTGGCATAAGCATCTTGACAGAGAGCGATCATTCTTGGATGAGTGACGGGATGAGCGAGAAGCCCAAAGACAAAAGGTGAGAAGCAAAGAGGGAGCAGTACTAGACGATGAAGCTGTCTAGGGGAGTGCCACACTAAAAAAGTTGGAATGATGTGACGAAAATGAGATCCCAAGTAAGAAGAAATGATGCCTATTGCAAAATAAAACATGATCTTAAATGGTCATGATCGACATGAAGCAGTAGTCGTGATTTTATGACGCAGTAGTTCTCAATCAAAATATAGCTTGCTTCTCGACGATACAAGATCACCCGTTCAATAGAGCAATCAAAATATAGCTTGCTTCTCGACGATAAAAGATCGCCCGTTCAATAGAGCAGTTCAAAATATAGCTTGCTTCTCGACGATAAAAGATCGCCCGTTCAATAGAGCAGTTCAATCATCTAGTAGAAAAATCTCCCGTCTCTTCAAAAATCCCAAAATTTTGAATCATCCTCTAAACATCATCCCATTTCCCTCTAAACATCATCCCACTTCACTCATCCCAATGAAATGCGACACCAGAGTCAATACAATTGAGACAACTTCTGTAGCTTGAGAGAGTGCTTTTAGCTACTTTTGAAACAACATTTTTTCGGATTTAGAAACTGCTTCTACTAAGTTGTAGGGCAGTTATTTCAAAAAGAACAATCCTCGTTGAACCAGATAGAAGTGAACTCGATCCTGAAAATAACAAGAACTAGAACAGCTTCATCTTCTATAAAAGTTTTGTAAAAGGAACAATAGCAATAGCTTCTTCTATCTCACACTTCCTGGTGTCGTGAGCACAAGAAAAATCAAAAATCTGCAAGATGGCCTACGTTCAGGGACAACCGGTCGACCACACTGGCTACCAGCCAGCTGCGTATGCAGAGCAAGGAGGTGCCTACTACGCCCCCGGCGTGCAGCCGGCTCCTGTCCTTCATCAGGCCGCTCCCCAGAAGGTGATCGTCGTTCAGGGTTCGAAAGGCGACGACAAGAAGGACCGTCGCTTTCGCACTGCGATGGCGGTCGCCGACTACTGGTTCGGTTTCTGTTCCACCTTAGTCACCACGCACCTCGTCTTGGCCAACACCGCCACGGTTCATATCGGCGTGATAGCCATTTTGGGGGGACCGTGGGCCAAAGGCTGGGCCTTGTACGCTTTGCAGTTCTCTTACGTGGCCAGCGCCGGAGCAGATGGCATTCAGGATTTTTTCCGTGGTGCTATGCAGAACGCGCGAGGTGCCAACGTCGGTGGTATCAACTTCGGGAATCTTCCCGGTGCTTTTTTCGCGGGCTCTCTAATTCAGGTTATCGCTTTGTTGGCACTCTTCGTCACCGCTGGTATCTTCCGCTGCAGCACCAAACACGTACTTTTTACCGTTTTCTTGTACCCTAATTAAATGTCTCTGCTACCCTAATTAAATGGGTACACTACTACTGCTACTACTGAATCTAGGTCAAAAGATACCTCAAGACCAGGTAAATGAATGAACACTAAAACTTGTTGTTGAGACTGATGTTCTGAGATTGAACGATAATAGTATAGATACGTGTTGTCGATAAGGACGATATTCTAAGATTTATCATTGAACGATAAAAAACTCTTCTCAACTAATTAGAGATGCTAGATTCGAGTGAACAATACAGCACCCACGCTAGGAGTAGAGGAGCATAAGTGCCAATCTTTAATAACGTGACTATGGGTCGCTGACCTTGAGGAATTGAGGCGGTGGCGGTGCATGAATGAGTGAAGCAATCCTTAATGTTACGTAACAACTACCAGGTATCATTGTATTAAAGCACCTAATGAATCTCAACATTGCTACATCATTGTATTAAAGCACCTAATGGCGGTGCATGAATGAGTGAAGCAATCCTTAATGTTACGTAACAACTACCAGGTATCATTGTATTAAAGCACCTAATGAATCTCAACATTGCTACATCATTGTATTAAAGCACCTAATG